GAGTCTGTTAGAGAGAAGGCATGTGTCCGTGTTTGTGTACGATGTGTTGGGAGGGAGTGGTAGGTATTTGACACAAAGAGAAGGAAACATTATCTGCAACATCCAGGAACTTAAAACCCTCTTTCCTGTAAGCCCAATACATTGCTAAGTTTTCTTTCTTCCTTATAAATGTTTCTTTATTTTGCTTCTTTATATCCCTCTCTTTATATCCTCTATTTTCCTTATCACTCTTCATTTTCATCACATGACATAAAAATTGTCATTTCTTACTTTCAAGACTTTTAAAATTATGTGACTTTGAGAAATCACCTCACCTTAGTAAGGGGCTTCATGTTGCTTTATATGTAAAAAGCGAAAAATAAAAATTTACTGCTTAAAAGCTAAAGTTTTTAATCCTTGAATCTATGGTTTTATAAAGTTGCTGCTAATACAACATAAATATTAAAATTTACAGATGAGGAGAAACTAAGATGGCGGCATAGGTAAAGACCGGAAATTGCTCCCACAACAACTTCAAAAATACAATTAAAAGACAAAACGGACATCATCTAGAACTACAAGAAGGCTGGCTGAGTGGAAATTCTACAACTAGAAGAAAAGAGAAAAGCACACTGACTCAGAGGAGGTGCGGAAGTAAAGTGCAGAGGTACGGAGGCTCAAGCACGCGCGGAAAGGGGCTGGCATCTGAGGACACGGCTGTCTTTTTGAATCGGGAGGGAGTCACAAGCTCCCAACTGCTCTGAACTCCAGTTCCGGGAAGTCTCTGGGGACCCAGGACTCATACGGGGAGAAACTGGACTGTCTGGCAGCAGTCAGAACTCGGAACTTGAGGGCGGCTTTCCCTCAGAGGTGCTTGCAGCAATTACAGGGACACTGAGACGCTTGGCCCTGAAGATCCACCATAGCTGCTTGCTCCGCCCTTTGATTCCCTGAGACCCCGCCCCACCCAGGCTGCAGCAGAGGCTTTTGCATATGAATGCCATGGCCTTTTGCAACCTGAAAATTACCTAACAAATTGCAGCTGGGCCAGATAGACCCAGAACTTCCAAGAGGAGGCCCAAGGCCCCACAGCAGCTTGCACTGCTTCACAGGTGGGA